TAGAATTTTTAAACAACAATGATAAAAGTATAATCTTAACCTCAAATTATAGTAAGGTATCTATTGATTTTTTGGATCTTAACATTTTTATTCATGAAGGTAATATTCAAACTAAGACCTTCTTTAAAGAAGTTTGTACTAATACCATCATAGATCATACAAGTTGTCATTATAAACCCTGGTTAGATGGGATTCCAAAAAGTCAATTTCTTTGTCTTCATCGCAACTGTTCTCTATCAAATGATTTTAAAATTCAATCTACCTCATTGAATAATAAGTTCTTAGAAAAAAACTATGAACCAGAAAAATTGAATGCAGCATTAAAAGAAGTTACTGCAAAAGAAAGAAAAGACCTTTTAGTATATAAAGCCAAAAAGGAAGACCCCCCAAAATTGCCTATTATTTTAGACTTTAATAAGAAAAATAAAGATATAATAAAAATCATTAATAAACATTGGCACATTCTTAAACAGGACGACCTTTTGAAAGACTGTATTCCTGACAAACCAAATGTGATTTTTAGAGGGGCCCCAAATTTTAAGAAAATTCTAACAAAAAATTATACTAAAATTACCTCATCAAAGGAGAATTTTCTGTCAAAACCAAAAGGTTTTTTTAAATGTAACAAATGTATTGTATGCAAATCTACAAATCCAAATACCAATACTAAAACGACTCATTTCTCTTCCACCATTACCAAAACTATGTACCCGATTAAAGACTTTGTAGGATGTAACACTAAAAATTTTATTTTTCTACTAGAATGTCAAAGTGGTTTTCAATATGTTGGCATGACAACAAGGTGTTTAAAGATTAGATTGGCAGAACATTGCCGCAACATCAAAAAAGGATATGACAACCATTCAGTGTCTAAGCACTTTTTATTTCACAATAAAGACCCCAGTGTTCTTAAAGTTACTGGGATAGAAAAAGTTGCCATGCCATGGAGAGGAGGAGATATGAAAAATATTTTGGGAAAAAGAGAGATGAATTGGGTTTTTCAGCTCAAAGCCCTATCACCCCAAGGATTAAATGTAGAATTCGACCTTTTTAACTTTTTATAAATTATAAATTTTCCATTATAATTATGTATTCCATCCATTTTTTTTTTTTATTTTTTTTTTTTCACATCTCACACTACTTTTCATAATTTTTTTTTTCACATTACATTTCATAATTTTTTCATTCATTAACTTTTTATTTTGAGCTTTGTTTATTTCCAATATATATATTTTTAATTTTGGACTTTGTTATACATATTATATATTATATATTTTTCAGGCATACATTTCCCACAATGCTTAGTTCCGACCACGTGATCGCGTCTAGTCGCGATCACGTGTTTCATTATATATTATTAAAAATAATGCTTGTTTTACTATTCAAAGCCCAGAGACATCTTTATACTCCTTTTATTTATGTTTTTACATCCTAAATTTTAACTTTTGAACATATATAAGTTGCGATTAGATGCTCCTTAATGACATCATATTTACATGTGTACAACATTGTTAATAATGCTCGTTTTATTATTTTAAATTTACAAATATCTTTATATTGCATTATAAAATGCCTCTATATCTTGAATTCTCACTTTTAAATTGTTTCAAATTATGCATATTGTACGAGTGACGTCATTTTGGCGCCAAAATTCAAATGCTTATCTGTATTTTTTTAGTTTATAAAAGCAGTTATTGTACCAGGTTTTTCTCTCTTTTAAATGCCATTTGATAAAGCCCTGTGTGGTGAAACGCGTTTTGGCTATTATTAGTTTGTTTTATATATTGATATATTATATTTTAATAAAGGAATATCGGCTTTTATTTTTGCCTATATATTTTTAATTCCTTCCTTTTTAATTTGAATTACCTGGTCACCGATTTGGATTGAAGTACGTCACTTTCCAAGAATCCTAAGGTGGGGATTGTACCACCTGCGCCATCATACTGAGCAGTAGTTCCTGCTCATATACATGTGAGTATTTTACAATTTTTATTTGTTTTTATATAATTCAGTGAGCACTATATACGTCTCTCATCTTTTCACATATCGAGGAATTACTCAGGACTCCATCACCTATATCCAACCAGTGGGGGATTGACGCCACTGAACGCTAAGAATACTTGAGCAAAGTTTTTTTTGCTCATGCCAAGGTGAGTTTTTTACCTACTTACAGACCCACATCTGGAAATTTTGTCGATATCCTACACTATTGGAGTTCTTTTTTATTTCTTTTATTTATCTACATATTAACAAGCGTACCAAGACATCTTCAACATAAGAAGATTCAGATATCCATTTGGACTGTATACTCATCTAAGAACAACACAGGTTTATCTATTATTTGGGACTTTTTTATCACATTTATTTATTCCATTTATTTTACCTCCCCGTCCCTTTAGCGCGACCTATATACCCATTTTTGTCTATCCTATTCTATGTGAGGCTTGCTGAGGGACCTCATTCCTATAGGTTGCTGCTTTTACACTTTATTTTAGTTTCTTTTAGATTATTTAGCGCTGAACCATTATCTTTTTGTTCTATCACATGACATATCACTGGAAAGTTCGGGATATCCTCTTTACAATACAGCAGGGATTAAAAGAGCAGCTCAAAAGAATAAAAGGAGACGCATGTGAACAAAATGTCCAGTACAGGGGACACAAGTTAATGGGCTGGGTCTCAGGAGGTTTTACTGCCAGGCGGAAGATGCAGCTTGCAGCTGTTATCATTCATTCTCTAACTTCAATCAAGTGCTGGGAAATGGGCTGGGGAGACAGACTTGGTATCTTACTCTTACCAGATCATTGACAGCCATATTAATAAAGCAAGATAGAAGAAAATAAAACACTTAGGATAGCTCATTACATGTGGAGGCATGATACAAGGTCATATTTTTTATTTATAAGTTTTCATTTTTTTTAAACGTGGGTTGTTGCTACACAATGCTGTCGCCCTCTTCTTTTGTAGCCCATGGAGCAGCGTAGCTAAGGGGAGTGGGCCTTGACATTGCCAGGAGACAGGCATCTAAGGGTCAGTGGTTAGGGATTGGTTTAAGGAAATTGAGTGGGGTGGAGTTCTAAGAGGAGTATAAGTAGTGGCCATTTTAGATCTAGGGATCACTTTAATCTAAGTTGCACTTACCTGTTGTTGTGGCAGGATTTGTGTGGCTTTTACTTTTGTCTCCTCTGCAGGTTGTCAGCAAGATGGAAGATAGGTCTGGAAGGAGTCCGGGCAGCAGTGCAGGAGAGGGGTGTCGAGTGGCTGAGGGATCGCCTTGGAGATGCTTTGCCATCCGGATCAGGAAGCTCCCTGGGTCAGAGGCCGGTCAGGAGGACAAGACCCCCGCAGAGATTGAGCCCCAGCGTGGTTCCGGGTTCTTGGCATCCAAGAAGCCCTTCCGGAGGTCCCGATGGTGGGGGTGAGGCTACCGGTGGGAAGGCCGCAAGTGGAGGAGGTCGCGGGAGGCGTCGCAGTGCAGCCGCACGAACCGAACATTCGGTTTTTGTGTCCTCAATTACAGGGAATGAAGGAGTAGTGTCTGCTGGGGACAGGAATCCAGGAAAGTGGCCATTACAGGCAGGGTCCAGCGGAAGAAGGAGGATCGGTACGGCAGGCTTGGCAGCAGGTCCTGGGAATGCTGGAAGCGCTGTTGGTGGAGCTGGGACAGCTGTGGCTCATTGCCCGGGTGAGTCAACCTCTGATGCCATTGCCCCTCCAGTTGCTGGGCCACGGGTTACCCCGGTGGTGGGTCCCGGTGTTAGCATGGTTGGTGACGGCAGGGTGGCAGGGGGCAGGCGGGGGACTGGTAGGGAACCGAGCGGAGTCTCCCCAGTCAGCGTGCGGGAGCGCAGCGCTTCACCAGGGTCTCCCATACGACCGGGGTGGGGACGACAACGGGCGGGTCAGGTCGTCATGGGAGTGACAGCGAGGGACAGCACAGAGGGTCAGCACCCTCCTCAGGGGCTTCGGCAGCGGTAGTTGGGCGCAAGCTAACAGCATTAGCCTTTTTGTTCAAGTTTAATGGGTGGGAGGATGTCACAAAACATTTTCTCATTAGGCAGACATTGAAAGGTTTCAGGCGGGGTAAGGTGTCGGTGGATTCCAGGAGGCCGGTGTCGTTCGAGTTGCTTCAGCGGGTGGTCCTGGTGCTGCCCGAGGTGTGTTTTTCGGGGTACGAAGTTACACTGTTCTCCGTGGTTTTTAGTTTTGCTTTTTTCAGGGCATTTCGTGTCAGCGAGCTGGTCAGCAGCAATCGCCAAGGGGCCGGGGGACTTCAGGCGGTGGATGTGGAGGTGTGGAGTAACAGGGTAGTGATCAACCTGAGGCGGTCCAAAACGGATGTACTGGGAAAAGGGACGTTGGTTACGTTGTGGGAGCTCCCGGTGGGAAAACGTGTCCGTTAGGTGCGCAGCGGCCTTCCAGGAGGAGCGGGCGAATGCCGGGGATTCAAATTTTAAGCATGAGGACGGCTCTTCACTATCGAAGTTCCAGTTCCTCACGGTTTTTCAGAAGGCATTGGCAAGGTTGGGAGTGGACCTGGGCCAATTCGGGACTCATTCCTCTAGGATTGGTGCAGCTACTGAAGCAGCAAGACTGGGCTTGGGAAATGAGCGGGTGAAGAAGATTGGCAGGTGGGAGTTGGTGAGGTTCAGATCTTACATCAGGCCTGACAAGTTGGTATAAATCCTAAGGGTGGTTGATGGGGAATTTGGGTTTCACAGTTGTTTTGTGGTTGTCTATGTTTGCATTATGTCTTACAGGTCGGATGGCATAGGTGGTCGGCCACTGATACATATACTGGGCACATCAGAGAGCTGCAGTTCGACATTGTGGTCTACAGCTGGGCTTTCCAAGTTCCGTGGTTCAGCTTCGGTGGTTTGGTTACCGGGGTTGGGGTTGGAATGCAATTTGTGTTGAAATGTTTCATAAAATTCTTTTGGGACAGGTTCCGGACATAGTCGTGCTTCACGCAGGGGGAAATGATGTGGGGTTGTTGCCTCAAAAGGTATTGATTGAGTGTATGAAGAGGGATGTGGACAAGCTGACGGAGTTGGTGCCGGGGGTTATGGTCGTATGGTCGGAAATGGTTCCGAGGTTTCACTGGCGACACGCGCGGAATCCTTCCGCAGTAGCAAAAATTAAGGGAAAGGTCAATAAGGTGATGGCAGCGTATGTGAAGCGGTTGGGGGGGTTGTAATTCGGCACAGGGAGCTGGAGGACATGCTTCCAGGTTATTATAGGTGCGATGGGGTCCATCTCTCCGAAGTGGGCTTGGACTTTCTATTGTTGGGTTTTCAGGAGGGCTTCCAGAGGGCAATCTTTTCCCTGGAGGGGGGGGTGTCGCTCAGGAGCTTGAGGAGTCATGCTCTGAGCTGTGGCGGGGGATGGAGAGTAAAGTAGGGGGAGAAAAGAGTGAGATGGGAAAAAAGTTTGGAGTTCAGGGCTAATATGTAGTCCTTTGAACTGGTTTGGTAGGTTCGCGCTTGTAGGTAGCTCCGAACCGGGGTATGTAAGGGTGTCTCGGTATGCCCCTACACTTGTGGTGCCATTTGGTAGCAATGGATGGTGCCCTTTGGTGGCAATGGTCATGTTTCAATGTTAAGTTAAATGTTACAATCTTTGGGTATTATGTTATGTGGGAGTGGATCATTGTCAGAGGGTTAAAATTGTAAAATGCAGGATGGTAATTGTGCAGGCCAACGTTGGCCTGCTGTTGACAATGACCTTTATATTTTATGTTAAGAATCAATAAAGCTGTGATATAAATTTTGCCAAAACTAACAAGGCGACCATGCACATATCAAGACAAGATTTATGTCTGCTCACCTTCCCTACTGCCTCCACTTCTCCCCAGTCCCTCCTCACTGAGTGTTTCTTTTGTGCTTACAAACTATTATATATAACTAAATCGAGTTGTGCAGGGTCAGCCTGTTGCCCATTCCATTAAATGTTGTCACCCCCCTCCAGTTACCCTTAGTACCCTTTTTTGTCTAGAGGCAAAGAAGATGCTCTTTTATCAGCACTTCAACATTTTAATATGCATTTTTAATATGTCTGTGTACCTTGTTAATTTTATGGGGGGCACTGTTGCCTACAGCAAGACCAGCTACATCTGCACATACCCATGATGTTATTTTTCCAAAATACACAACTTACAGCTATATATGCTTGGAAGATGGATGGATGGATGCGTGGCTGGATGCATGAATCAATGGATAGATGAATACATAGACACACAGCTAAATAAAGACGATTACAATGGGCATGTCCTGTTTCTGAGATTGTGGTTATATAATTTGCTTTTTTTCTAACAGTACTTATTTGGCTTTTCAATTACTTTCTACAGACTGATAGCATGCCGTTGTCATCTTGCCTTACAATACATGCAGTTATGCTAAGGTGTAAAAAACACAACAGACAATAATATGTAAAGAAAAGATTAAATATTAACTTTTTTTTACTTTCCTCATTTTACTGCATTTGCTTATGTTGTAACACATTTTTTTTTTTTTTAGAATTCTTTATTTAGAAATGACATAATGAACAGACATGTTCCGGATAATAGCATACAAAGATACAATCTTGGTTCATTCGAAAAGTGTGCAACATGATATCTTATGTACACAATGTTACAGTGTGGGTTTACGGAAAACAATAAGTCTGACAATAGTACATTTCTCATATCTGGCTCTTTGTTCGCATATACATAGTCAATACGAGTTTTTATTTAACATCGAAAAAACGTAACATAAGAGAATACATGTTGAAAAAAGTACGTGTTTGGTGACCTTTAAGTCCCACCTATTAATTCTGTTGACCATGCCAATGCTGTGCATTAGTGGATTTATTTTCTGGGTTCATGATCTATGTGCCACCCTCTATCTGTATGGATAGTAATAATTTAGTATCTAGATCCCGGCAGCAAGAAAACGGTGGAAATTCATGGCCACTCGAGCAGTTGGCAAGAGCTAATTGTGGGTCTGGAGTCTGTTACGTCTCAGCATCCGATACAGGTGTATTTAATTAGCTTTCGGTCACCTTAACGTACTAACTTTTCCCCATAAGATAGGGGGAGAGTGAAGATGATAGGATAGAGAAAGATTAAAAAGAACAAAGTGAGACGAGTAGTATGGGAGGGGTGGCATGGGGGCGGGGGGTTGGAAGGTGATTTGGGATCAAGATCGTGTTAGTCTTGGACTACCCAATATATATGAGGATGGGGGATTGATGTGTCTCTGGTTGGCTAGTCTCTGCCTAGGTTCCTAATGGGCAGTTTTCCCATGGTTCCCATATCTTCTGGAAAGTCTTTTGGGTTCCTCTAATCCTGGCTGTTAGATCATCCATCAAGTGCACCTCTTTAATCCTGTTTATTTTGTAACACATTCTTAACAGTCTAAATCAGATTTATTTGTAATATTTTGATACAGACATATAAAATGAAATAACCATGCAGCTGCCCTTATTTTACCCTCCAGCCTCCATATCTCAAGAAAAACAAAACAAATAGAATCATAGAGTAGAGTGTTTTTGAATTGAACAGTTATTCAGGAACTTTTCAGTTGAGTGGTACGGGCACATTTGGATGTTTCCCTCTTGTAGATTGGATTTGGTAATCAACATCAGATATTCCAGTTAAATGCATCTCTTTACTAAATATTTTCTGATGAAACTCCTGGGAAAATATATAGAGGAATAGAACTTTTCATGAAAATATTAGTGATCAAACACCTCTGAACAGACTTAAAACCATTGCCTTCATAGCACCAGATATAAACAGAAGAACCAAGGAACTGTAAAATGAGCAATACTTCTTTATAGAAAATTAATCTGATGCATTTGACCGCACATGTATAAAAGCTAATGTTCACTACAAGTCGTAGAAAACAAAGACTTTCATAATATTATCTGATAACATAAAGAAAGATGTTCTAACCAAGAAACAAACAAAAAAAGAAACCTGCAGAAGGGGGACTCCATATTGAAAACACCATATATAAATATATATGGTCTTGATAATGACCCTATAGGGTCAAAACGTCGATATTTGGAAGACACATTTTTGGAGGTTCTCTGAGTGTTGCCAATCATTCTGTTTACTCCTATTTGATTTGGTTACCACCTAGATATTTTTCTGAGTGCTAGAGTTATATATATATATATATATATATATATATATATATATATACACAGTATATGTATGTATATATATATATATAGTGGAACCCTTTTAAAACTAGACAAGAGATGGTCTTAAAAAAAAAAAAAAAAAAGCTTTCCATTTTGTAGGACATGCATAAATAATGTAATCTTCAACATACATTCATTATTTATAATAGACATTCTGTACTAGAGCCAAATTCAATGAAAGAGCGGTTGATTAAAGAAACCAGCCTTGTAACTAATTTATAGGGTGATCATCAAGTAAATTGTTTGCAATGCACATTGTTGGTTCTATTGTACTTGTCCTTGTTAGATTTTAACAGCATTAAGTGGTGATTTACCGAGAACTACTGCATTATTTTGTATTTCTTGGCAGACTTGCGTTTGACACATTCCATGTCTTTGATATATAGATAAGTACACGGAAAGACCCCCTTGGCAGGGAGTCCGTCAGAGCCTTGTACTATGGCTTGTTATTAAATTGTATACGTTAATAGGAAAGATGATTGACCTATGGCATGAAAGAGCATTATTTATTATGTTAACAGTGGAAATACAAGCTAAACCATTTGCCACTATACATTTTCATTTATTGTTAAAAAACAATCAATAATTTGACAGCTTGTCAACATTTAAAGACACACTGTCATTCAGAAATATTTTTGTATGAAAGGCCATATATCACAGTTTTATGTGGCTGACTGTCAATAAATCCGAGTTATAAAACAAACAATTCTACTGATGATGCACAAATTATGGATTCTGGATATTATTAAACAAACTGATCGTTCAGACAGCATTTCTGGCAGACAGCTCTTCAGATAATTAGGAGCTATTTTTGTAAATAACAAAAAGTGATAATAATAAATACACTGAATAGCTAGAAATGCACACATGAAATTAGAATAAAACTGCAATATAGCAATTTTGTATATGAAAGAACTAAAAAAATTATTTTTTTCTTTTTCAATTCTTTATTTGTGCAATGACAGCAAGGAATAGTACATTACATCAACATTAAAAGTACACAATATATTCGTGCCAAGTAAAAATACAAAGTAGCAAAAATCAAGGAACCAGTATCATTTTATATGTGCATGTAGTTGAAAAGACAGCATAGTTGTAGAATGCAAGAAAAAAAACTGAGAAGGGCTGCGCCACATAAAAGTAACAGGAGATGGTAGAATAACAATTGAACCAACAATGCTAAAAAGTCTTGTCCCAACAATGCAAGTTCTCACATACAAAGATGCCTCTTATTTAAGAGGTAGGTGCAGCTGTAGGTGCTAAATTATTTGTGCTTGGGGGATGTAGTAGATGTGAATGTCTTTGGTCTCCGTATGTGGATAAAAAGAAGACAAGGCAACCTAATGGTGCAATATGTCAGAACTCATATACCGTTATAACGGTATATAAATGATAGTGATGTTACACATACATGTAAAAGAGCTATGACCAGCTCTAGCGTGTATCGCATACAGTGGTACAATCCCCACTTATAAGATATGATGAGGGGTGTTCACAGCAGGTTGGTATCCAGGTACTTTAAAAAAAGACAATAGAATAGAAATAAATAGTGTTCTCAATAAGATAATAAAATTGTATAAAATTAATCAGAATTATACTCACAAGGGTAGAGCAGGCTCTGTGATGATAGTGTTGGTGGTATAATCCCCACCTGGGATATTCTTTAGAGTAAAGATGATAAAAAATGACTAAAAAAATGCTAGGAGGTATGCATTTTAAAATAAAGTATTAGATATAAAGGTGATGGCACAATATGCTATTGTGATAACCAAAATCCTTTATCCCCTTTTAGGGATGCTGCCTTGTTGTTCATACTTTTTGGTTATTTAGCACTGACCCATCTGTGTGTTTTTATCTGTATATATTTTTTATTCCCTCAGGAGTTAGCTGCTTTTTAACACTAATATGTCTTTTTTAGATTTTAGAAATAATTTTACTATTGATGTCGATAATGTATTTGACACAGAGTTTACTTGCCCCATTCAGATAAGAGAAAGTACTTTTAGCCAACAAGAACTGTTTATCAAACTTTA